CTTACAGAGCTGCTCTGATAAGGGAGAATGTGTGTGCATAGCATGCCAAATGACCTAGAAGTGCCACCCTCCTTCCAAGGAGCCACATCTAAAATACTGGACTCTCTGACAGATTATATAAGAACGCCTTTTAATCTTGTTGCAATCAGAACAAAACAACCCTCAATATTTTTTAAGCCATTCCCAGTGCCCTCATGGATTAACATATAAAAACCCTGCCTCTTACTAGTGCAAAAATAGTTGAAACATTGTAATCCTTTAGGTATTTTGAAAAAGAATCAGACCTCATTATTATGACAACCATAAAAACAAACAGAATGCTGATGTTAAAAGTTCTCTTTCACATTATTATCTACCACTAAAACTATTCAATTATACTTAAAAGTCGTGATCTTCTCATTTGATTGTACACTTCTCTGCTCCTGAGAAAGTCTTGCAATCTCAGATATCAGTTCAAATGAAAAATGTGGAAGCTAAAAGGACTGATATAATCAATGAAAGCAGATCCTTTTAGGCACAAAAGAAAATGAAGTGATTGTTTTTATCTGCTGCAAGAACATTCAAGTTAGTGATGTCTAACCAGATGCACAGGGCTGAATAAGGATTAGATAAAGAAAGTGCAGAAAGGGAAAAAAAGTCTTTCTAACATGTAATAGAAATGTGCAACAGGCCTAGGTGAGTAGATTATACAACAACTACAAAACTCTTATCTGCTAGAATATAACTTTCAATATCAGGAAAGGTATGTGTCAGACCAAAGGAAAAAAAGTGGGGAAAAAATTGAAAAAGGAGAAAAAAGACTTTATTTCTAAGTTGAGTTAATTTCTGACATTCAAAGAGGATGGGGAAAGAAGACGTGATGCTGTGGCCAGGAGTTGTGCCTAAAAAAGAGGACAAGGTACCTCATTCACTTGTTCAGTACTCTGATTCTTTCACTGACTGTGCAACATTTCTTTACCCAGAGGCAGATGAGCAGGTCTGTGAGCTAGTAGTGTGTCATAAATTGTCCCAGTTCACTCGGTCCAATCCACCACCTTCAGGTCACATTAACCAAAGATACTTAGAATTTAGTCAGTTGTTTAACAGACTCAGATAATGCTATAAGTGAAAATTGCCGCAGGCATTACAGGTATTGACCTCAATCCAAGTTACAGCATATGCCAAATACCTGCCTTAGAAATGCAAAGCAGTGAGGGCTTCTCGTTGAGAAGATACAAACGGTATACTCAATTTGCTCTCAGGTGCCTAAGTATCCTACATGTTTGAGAAAGAGGCTAGCAATCTTTTTAAAACAAGAAAGGTTTTCACTTTAACACAGGTACAGATTCACTGCTAGTGAAAAGAGAAGGAAATAACTATGTCCTCTGTCTGTGTTGTAATGCCAGCTATTGAGAAGACATAGGAGGCGCTCAGGAAGAGCGCAGATGTACTGTGGGGGTACACATATACTCAAAAAAAACAACGGTGAGAGGAGTAAGATCAACACCTCACCATGCTAAGAAGAAAATCCACTGCTTGAAAAACATCTAGTATGGCTCTAAGGCAGGTGAGAAGGTCAGTGGATTTTGAGTGCAAACAGCATATCTGATTTTAGCATCTCTTTACTCCTTCCAATATACAGAATCCTTAGGAAAATCAGAACACTGGAAGAGTTCTGCAAGTGGCACAGTAGCCTGGCAAAGCACTGCCAGGTACCTATGCATCTCATGGATGAGGAATTTCCTAGCAAAGCTTTACGATGCTATTCGAGCTCCTTGAGATTTTATTCAAATCGCATCCATTCATGTCACCTCAGCACCCCCAGAGCAGGTCGAGATCCCAGCACTCTGCAACAAGACAGCCGGGAACAGATTCAGATAACAATCTCCTCTGTCGTGGAAACAAAAAGCCCTGGGAATTCTTGAAGGATACTTCTCTGCCTATATTCAATAGCAGAATAAGTGTGGGTCATAAGTGTGACAGACTGCATCCTTTATATCTGTATACATGTGTGTGTGGTTTGGGCAAGCATATTGGAAGAGCACATGGCGTGGGCTTCTCCAAACTGAAAAGCTTTAAGGGAACACTAGAATGTACACAAAGTTGGACTTTCTCCAGAAGCACACTGAGTAAAATAAGGCATCATGGCTTGAATTTCTCAGAACTAAAGAAAACACGATTTGAATCTTCTCACTCACTAGTGAGCATATATGATCTGTGACAGCAATCCTGGGTAAATGGAATAAGGTCAATAAATGGAATAGATACTGTTTCTAGGGATAAACGAACACTTGTGCAAGATTTCGTAGGTGATTTGAAGGCATTGCGCTGCATACCTAAATGCATAGGTGGTGCCACAGGTTGGTAGCTATATTAACAATAGCCAGCTGCCAAACTGCAAAAGGTAGGTATTTGTACTGAGACAGAGGTTAAGACTTGTAGAAATATGCAGAGTCTCAAAAACTTCCATCCTCTGAGAGTCTTCTGTTTATAGAAACTGTCAACAGAACTTTGCCATAATATAATATATTCATATATTCACCAGAGGTCAGGATGATAGTGGTTCTAGAAAGCTGCATTTAATAAAACCGTAACGTATCAGTAATTTGCTTTTTAGATCCAAAATCCTACAATGTAAACGTTTCCAACAAGAGGACATCTCTGTCATAGAGGATTTTTTTTTTTTTTTAAGTTCTGAAGATAACAATAGCTTAAGAGAGTAGAGAGGAATTTTTGTTCTGTCTTTTTAGAAGCATGATTAAGTAGTCCTCAGTACAGGAAACTGGATGATAAAGCTAGGGGATGCTGCAGCATTACTCTGCTACCTGATCCTGGGGGCAAGCTGAGAGACACCACTTTCTTTGAACAACAGCTGGCTGGGAAATCATTGCAAAGGCATCTAATATTTTGGGTGCCACTGTTTCTTGACCAGACTTCAAGTCGGGTAAAGCAGTCTGTACTCGTGGTCAGAACATCTGTGGATAGAATGTTCTCAAATCTTTTCTCATGGTAGCTGAAGCTACAATAGAACTGTCAGGGGTCCTTGGACCACACTGATGTGCTCAGCAGAAAGAGCTGGAAATGTTCTCTTTTTTCCAAGTCTTCGAACTAGAATTCTGGACAACACAGTATTAATGCAGAAGGTATTCTTCACATAACTATTACAAACATTTTCTATACCTGTAACACAGAAAATATCTACCATGCAATTCAAACATGTATTTGTTTTTGCCTTCTTAGGGTTCAAGAACACAAAACAGGAAAATCTTTACATTTAATTATTATGTAAGGTAGGAAATAACAGAAAAAAAAAACAACAGAATTTTAAAGAAAAGAAGAAAGAAGGTCATTGCCTACAATGCTGCATGGAAATCCTCTGATTCAGTAAAAGGTTGAGAGAGAAATGCATAAGGAAGGCCGCTGTACAAGGAACACGTATGTCTTATCCATTTCATTAAGGTTTAAGTTTACCGTTTTAGTAAGCTTTGGAAATAGAGAGATAATTCAATCCCAAAACAGGACCATAACTTTAGCTGGGAGCATGCAAAGAACAAGTCTGTGTTAAAACATATCACGAAGACATACTCTCCACTCTGTTCATACACTCATTTACTATGTACTTGATTCCCATTTAACAGCTCACACTGAATGTTGTTAGGTACTAACCTATAACAATATAAACAAAACAGTTGAAGTGTTTTCTAAATAGACCACAAATTGCCTGGTTGAAATTAGCCTAATTAAAAAAGTCTCAGTAGATGCACGCAGAAGACATACAAGCAAGAAATAGGATAGCTCTTAACACCAGTTTCCACAACTGGATCAACTTGTCTCTCCAGTCTTTTGGCATTTCATTACAGAAGCAAATTAACTGATTCATATCAGAACAAAAACAACCTTCCATGTATTTTTTTTATTATGTTCATAGTATGAACAAGGTTAACTGCTTCTCAGGTGCTACTAAAACTATAATTTCATAAATTACATCGTAAGGGTTATCAGATTTCATAAGAGACCTAACGCAGGTGTTCCAGTGAGCAGGTACACATCCCACCGCTAAGCAGCAGGTTGTTGGCAGGCATTTCTCAGCTGAAACAACCGCAGTAATCTCTACTTTGGAGTAAGTGTCTCTGGGAGAAAAGGAGAGAGATGTTTAATTCCCAGGCAGTAAGAACATGAAAATTGCCTGTTTTGTTAGGAGAGCTGCAGAAAATGCCTTTCTGACAAAAGTCAAGTGACCTTTCTTTACCAGAAATGTCCTGCACACTGCTTTCATATCTGACAATTTTCTCATGAAATTTTCCTCACTTATGCCAATTTTTGCCAAATGTTGTTGACAGGAACACAAACTCAGACTTCAAGTTTACACAGGAATTTACGTCAGTAGCATCAACAAACAAAGTAATTGGCACTGAAATTCATTTTTATTATTTTCAGGTAAGGAGAGCAAAATACACAAATTCTCTCCAAAGGTCCTTATCACAGAAATTGATTTAATATCAAATCCACACAGATCATAAGCCAGTTAACTCATGGATCATTTCTGAGTGTTCATTTCACAAGAATAAAATGGCATTCTACCTAACATTTTCTTTTGCAGTCAGTCATAGGGAAAAACATCAATTTAACTGTAGGCTAGCTTATTAAGGATAACAACCCATACATTCCTCATAGTTTCTTAAACATTTAAAATAGTTAAACCGTATCTGTAGCCAATATTTTGGTAACATCTCACATTACCTAGTTGGGTCATACAAAAAAAAGCCATTCTCCTTTCTTAAGGTTACACACGCTAGGGAAACTATCTGAAAAAGAATATCACTGCCATAATGACATTTGATTTTCTAAACAACAGAAGCAGAAGTTCAAAGTTACAATTCAGTGCAAGGATTAAAAATTAAGGAATACACTGGGTGTTGCTTTGCCTCCACCAGCCCTACCACAAAATTCTCACATCCTTTTAAAGATACGCCCAGCATTCTGTAACAGAAAAGCACAAAAATTCACAAGAAAGTACTCACACTGTTTGGGTGTTGAATGGCAGCTTCATACTGCAGTCTAACCCGCTGTGGCATCATCACATCGTCCTGAAATAAACAGCACGCTGTTACTGAATATAAAAAGGGTCACAGTGCAGCATTCAGACACACATTAGAATATGCTGTTAAATTAACATCATTTTACTGGCTTGTACTCAGACATACAAATGGAACAAATATGAAAGTCACTGTGACCATTGCTTGGTTTCTTTCAAGCACAGAAATAACGCATTTGCATCTAACTTCATCAGTGCCCACGAGCAAGTGGAACTAAAAATGAGAAAGAACATTTTAAAAAGGCATTCTTATTTTCATTTGCTACTTTGCTTCAATCTCAATAGATTAAAATACACAGAGAACCATTCCCCTGAATTTTCTCTAAGTGATCTTTCAGTGCCTTCTTTAAAATATATAAAAAGAAATGCATGTGGGAAAGAAGGCCAACAGAGGAGCGTATGGCAGAACAACAGTCATTAACAAGAAGTAAACAACTGTAAAGTGCACACACCAATAAGAGATGCAGCTGATAACATCCTCAACTCAAAAAGTTCTTCGCATTCTTTCTTCATAGGCATTCTTTGCAGTCTGAGCTGTATGTAGTTCTGTTGCTAAGTACAGGCCCTCTGCCTCTAGATCTTCCAGTACAACGTGTTTTATAAGCACAAAAAGCAGTATTTGAGAGTTTATGAAATTCTAAGCAAAAGCAATAGAACCCCAAGACACACAGAAAACACATCAGTGTTGACTTGGCTTTGAAACACTACTTAGATGTGAGTTTGAGGTTTATGCTTTTTGCGCTTGTAGCATGAAGGTCTGCTTTATTTACACATGACAAGAGGGGTTGCCTTAAAAGAACTTAAACTTCCTGTCCTTCTTTGACCAGACAGGAGAAATCTCTTTAAGATTATATATTTTCTGCACTATGGCTTTAGTCTGTTAAAACAACCAATTTTAGCACAGATTTTCCTCCCTAAGTTTAATCTCCTGAGTACTCCACCTGTATTCTTCTCCATTTTGGTTTCATATTTCTTCCATCTGAGTATCAACTCCAGCTTTCTTATATGGTGGTTAAAAGTAACAGAAGTAACAGAATTAGATCCAGCTATTGAACACAAATCAAGGTTAAAGATAAAACAACATAATATTGAAACTGATTCTTGCACCACACAAGTTCATAAGAGCAGGAAGAGATTTACTGTCAAAAGCATTAGTCTGCATGCTGCATTTAAGGTAAGTTTAATAATAAACATGAGAGATGTTAACCATTCTCAAAGGCAACATAGTGGAAAAGAAAAATCTGATTTTTCAACCTTTGTGATAAAGGGAGAAGAAAGCTCTCCACATCAGTTACTTTGACTAAAGGGCTTGTCTTCTAGTCTACTGTACCAAGAAGTCATCAAGTACGCGTTACAGCAAAACACTTATCCTATCCCCTCAAAGGACAACAACAATTTTCTGTGTCAACTAATTGTACAGCTATTTTTGAAACTGAAATGTGGTTTTCATGCACAATACAGAGTTATATTTTGACTGAACTTTGTTTACTACCTTAAGAATTAATTATAACTCTTAGATGTCACCTTGTTTAATCCCTACAAAGCAATAATACAAAATCCATCAATAAGAAAGGAATGAAAATGCTCAGAATGAGGTCACTTTTGTCTCTTACAATATACAACATAGGCTCTCATGCTAAAATACTCCAACATACACGATCCAGCACAGCAGATAAATTTCAACAACTCATGCGTACACAAGGATGAACAATAACTTGACTTAAATCACCCAAACCAAATTCAAATGTTCTATTCAATGTTATGCTTTTTTGAGCAGACAACTTGACAGCAAAGGTTCCCCTACCAGAACACTGCGGCATTCGCACTCTAGTGGCAAAACTAACAGAACTACAGAACTGGGTCTTAGGCTGCCATCGAGACCATCGCTAAGCTGGATGTTACAGAATAAGAAGGAACACTATGACCATAAAAAATGGAAAATGCCCTTCAAAAAAAAAAAACAAAACAAAACAAACAAAAAAACCAAATACATTTTTATTCTTTAATGCTTGAAAATGATGAACTCTTACCCAGAATGACCTTTAAACCTTAAAAGAAAAACACAGACATTTATTTTCTATTTATTCACCTACAGTTTTACACATACAATGCACTGAAGTTTAGTTTTGCTAAGCCTGAGTTCATGGAAAGAGAGGGAAAACAATTTGTTCAACGACTTTAATATTAGACAACTAAATGTTCAATTATTTTATCCAGTTGCACATTATATAATCACAAATGATTATAATAATTAAACCAACGTTTTTCAGGATATTTTTCACTAATGTCATGTCAGACAAAAGACAGTAAAAAAATATTTGAATCTAACTGCAAAAGCATATTTAATTTGTTTAGAAAAATGGACTACATTCAGAGAAAACAAGGTATAGTCAGTCTGTTTCTGTCTCCTACGTGTGTGTGAGTAGGGAAGATAACATTGAATATATATATAAGTCACAAAATCTGTCCTGGTAATAGAATAGGAAAACAAAAAATAATTAGTAAATAAAGCTTTCAAAGTGACTCTGCACCAAACTTTGTAGAAGAATGTAGAAAAATTAGGTAACACTTGGATTTAGTTTCAGCTAAATAGGTACATAGGTGCATACAGTGCAAACAATGCCAAGCAGGTACAGAAATACAGCACCACAAACAGAAGGCAACATCAGGCACTGGAAATAACCCAGAATTTGTACAAATGTTGTTGATTACAAACACGTTTCCTGTTCTGCAGTGTCCGTTCTGAGTAGGGAAACAATTTGCTGAAGGATGGGAGAATGAAAAGAACTTTATTTCACATGAAAAGCCAGCAGGGATTTCTAAACAAGCCCAGATGTGTTTCTGTCAGTGGGAGGCTGTGATCTCCATCACCTTTCAGTCCGACAGGCGCTCGACTGCTCGCATTCCTACCAAACCTGTCCCTTCTGTAGAACATTGGCTCACTCCTGTTGAGTTCTGTACAGCTTGCAGATGCTGCAGGATCAGCAAAGCTCATTATACGGCTATCAGCCGGGCTGTTTTCCTTCCATCCAGAGGCACGCACAACTACAATTATAAACACGCACAATTTACACTGAGCTAGTTGCTTTGTTTTACTTCATTCATATGTTTAGTTGAAGCAAAGGAAATTAAGTCAATAATCCGAGCTAAAGGATATTATTCAAAGCTGTTGCTGCTTCAAGTATGTCTTTCTTTAGTCATTCTGAGTAAATTCAAACAATAAACATTCACTGGCTTCTTCAACCAGGCAGGCTGCCTAGACCACACGGAAATCCACAGTGATAACTTGATAATTTTCCATTGAAAGTTTTTTTAATTCCGCTGCAGGAAGTGAAATAAAACATACAACTCAATGCACAACACAAATTTCCTTTTTAAAACCAAGGACAAGCTCACATTAAATGATGCACTAATTGAAGCTCGGTACTGTCCTGTCTGAATCTCACATCATAGACCTCATCATATGCTTTTCTAATTCCCTTCATTTGGCTGTTCAAAAAAAGCCACAAACAACAGAAAAAGAACCCAGCTGACGCACTGCATCCTGACAGCAATGGCACCTTGTGCACTGCAGATACTGCAGGTGAAATGCAGCTTGTTGCAACATCAGGTGGAAGGTTTGATTCCATGACAAACAATACGGCATCTCCAAAGTCTTTCACTGCGCCCAATGGATGTTCATCTATCCTGCACCTGCTCGGACTGTAATTAAAATCTTCCTTTGCAATTGTTCAGTGTAACTCCCTGACCTGGGGAAGCAGAAGGCCTGTGACCTCCAAAAACCGCTCTGTCAACAGGAGCATCAGTGCAAAAAAAAACACTCATCACAGGCAATTTTCCAGAGGCAAGTTTTAAAATTAGCCCCACACCATTAAAAACATTAACACTGTGCATTTGAATGGCTGCTGTGCAGACACCTGAGCAGAGCACATCTCAACTACCTGTCACTACTTGCAAGATTATGGGGGGGGAAACAACTTTTCTGCCTCTGAATTAAATTGAGCGAAAAAAAGCAACAGCAAAGGAAACACAAGTCTAAGAAGCTGAATTTATGGTGCTCTCCTTTTCTCTGGATCGTGGCAACTTAAAGGCCTATAAGGGAGGACATATTTGGTGACCTTGGGCACCTGACTGACGAGCACATTGCATCAGTATAAAATTAATTAAAATCTTCCTATGAGGACTCGAATGGCTAGAAATACTGCAGGTCAAATAAAAAGACACGCTCAAATTTCTTCTTAAACAGTCAAGAATCCTCCAACAGTGAATAAACCTGAAATATTGGGAAGACTGAACGTTTCTTAGGATCCAATGTGTGTTCTTTTTAAATAAACAGGTTTTTATAGGCAATGTTTGAGTGTCAATGAACACAGAGATTCAAATCAAGGAATTTTTAGTATAACCCTCCTGCTGTGCTAAAACAGACTGAATGTTTATAGCAAAGATGGCAACCACTACAGAGAGCTGACAAACTAATACCATGATAAAATGCAACTGGTAGATAAAGTAGCCACAGATAATTTGAAGAGGAGAAAAAGTAACTGTGAAACATGTTAGCATAATTAGTGAATTCTATTGTCATCACGACCAAGATTTTCTGAGACTACAATAAGAACAGTTTGTTAAGTATCTTCACATTTTCTAATTCACTGGTGGGAAAAAGGCCTCAGTAGTTTAGAAGTGAAATCTGTAACAACAGCTACAGCAACGAAACTCCATAATAGCTATTAGTCAAACAGCTGCCACTTCATACTAGAATAGGCTGATCAAATTCTGACAGTTCTGAGCTCTGTAACCTTTTTTTCCCCCACATTTCTTCCCAATTTGTTGTCCTCACAGATCTGTGTTGAGAGACATAACACAAGCAGCTTGACACCAGCTGGAATGGCGAGAGAGACCGTCTCCCTGGAGCCAGAACTCTCAAAGATGCATAAGTGAAATGAATGCACAAGGAGACACAGTATTTTAATTCACCTATATGAAATGCACGCAGACTATTGATACAGCCCATTTCTTTCCACATCCACCTACAGCAAGCCTGCAATTATTGCTGCATCTGAAGGTCAATTCTTTGGCATCACTGTAGCGCGTTCCACACGGCTGATGTCAGCATTCCTTCCTATGGAGCCTGACTCTGGGTTGGTAACTGAAATGAAGAAGGTAGGTGGCGTGTGGAAGCAGAGCTATCAAACAGCTGGCAACATCTGTGTTTGGGCTATGATCACAACATTTTCTGACTATGGTCAAAATGTTGAGCAATTTTCAGACTCTTAGCAGTTTCCACATGAATTTTATTTCCTCTGACCTGTTTTCAGCAAACAATGGTCGCCACAAGGAAAGACAGTACGAAAAACACTGAAGTCACTTGTTTATTATTTCTTTGTACCAAAATCAGGGCTCTGGTCATTCAGAATGTCTTTTATTTTGAGGCCTCTAGCTCAAAGCAGCTACAGAAATGTGTAACACAAAGGCTTGGTGCCTTCCTCCAAGCTTATCCATACTGGAATTCATAAAATTCTCAATCAAATCACTTTGACGAAGTCATAATTATCAGAAACATACTAATAATAATCTTGCAGAAACTCAAAACCATTGCTGATTGGATTTCATAATAGATGTAATAGATCCTTGTCTGCACAGCTAGTCAGCAAGTAGAAAAATACACAGCAGCACGAAGGTGAGTGCTGCATAAACATCTCTTTGATGCACATGAGCCTGACCTATCCAACACCCACGGATTTCTGTAGGTGATTTTGAGTTCCACGTGTTCAAGAAACGTTCAGTTTTTGTTTTCTGACATACCAATATGCATCAGTTACAGCATTTCAAAGCTTAACTCATCATAAACTTGTATACGAACATTAAATACGCCCTGTAAAAAACTACTAATGAGAAGCCAGGATACATTCAAATGAACACTTTCAAAAAAGAAAACTGAGCAGATAAACATAGTAATAGTTTAAGAAAAGAAAAAATACAGGTGAGAAAAGCCAACAGCAAAGCTTAATTTCTTAGAAAACAAGACAAGAAACTTCTGCCACATTGTCTTGATTCAAAAGAAATGCTCCAGTGATTAGCCATATCTTGCAGCGATTAATTCACAGAATTGCAACTATCAAAAAAGCCTTTCTACCCAGCTGGTACGACAAACAGAGCCCATAAACTGAAAGAGTACCCAAATTAAAACCTGTGTGGTTATAAGGCTGTAGAATTTGCATCCCTGCTCTCATGAAAAAGATCATGACACTAACAGGCAAAGCCAATCATAATGTTAACTTGTAGTCTATCTGAAAACCTACACTTCCAGCAATCATTTCCTCCTAAACCAGTCAATTCAGAGGAAAGAATTAATCTTCAGGTGAAATTACATGAGATCAGTGAGCCTTAAAGGTCTTGCTCTTCTTGCCTGATCCTAGCCACGTGGCACCATTCCTCAGATCAGCTATGCATATTGGTGAAACCCTTCACTGCATATCATACTGCATAAAGTCAGATAGTTATCTGCAGGTGAGTGAGCTGAATGGGTTCACTGAAGGAGCCCAACAAAGGACGGGAAAAATAATATATTCAAGAAGGGAGGCAAGGCATCTCCAATTCTGCATCAAAACCCAGCAGATTAGCTCTTAGTTTCTCATCTATACCACTTTCTAAAGCACGTGGGAAAGCAAAAATCCTAAAAACACCTGAACAACTTTGCACAATTCTGCTCACAACTTCTTGTGAAATCCCATAGAATCAAACAGTGATATAAGGTTGTGGGCCTTCTGCAGTTTGGAAGACAACTGTAGGTCTATAAATATTTTTAAACACCCAAACACCTTTAAAGAGCTTTTATTTATGGCAAATCAGGCACCACACTAAAAAGAACAAAAGAATCTTATTGACAAAATGGAATTTAATAAAATCCATTAACTTACTGAATCCAGAAAGCAGAGATAGGTTCCTGAGCTCTGCATTATTGCTTGATTTTTAGCAAATCCAACTGTTGAGAAAATAAATATAAAATTATGTGGTAGGTTTTGAATTTTTTTTTTTTTAATTACTGCAGCTCAGAACAGATTAAATAGACAAAAAAAAAATCAGTATTAGGAAAAATATGATTTTTTTCCCATATTAAAACCAGGTAACTTTTAAATAGCTACATACACACTCATTTCAGTATTGCTCTCTGTGTGGTTATCAACTGTATGTGTTAGAATTCTACCACTAAGCAGAATTAGACTTTTACCACCCGTCCCAAAATACACAATACATAATATTTATCTTGATGAGTCCAGCTGCCCAGATCTCATACCCAGCACTTCAGATGCTGAAAAAGATGCCCAGATATACATGTATTTAAATCTGATCACAACAAATAGAAGACAAATTTCTGTTCCATGTTGCAAATACAAAACCTTGAGGACACGTAGTACTGCTGAGGATGTGGGGGTTTTTAATTCTTTAATGGGAAAACTAGAAAGATAAAGCTAGGAAGTCTCACCATTACTCAGAGTGGGGTAATTTTAAACATTATCATATCTAAAATGCCCGATTTTGCATGTGAAAAAGAATCAATCTTCTGTAAATTAGATGATACAGCTTCGAATTTGCTCAGGGAACAAATTTAGCTGGGCTCAAAGGTTCAATTAATTTAATTCACAAGCTCCTTGGCTATTTTGCTGAGTTACCCGAGAAAAAGACTTATTACTGCATTGCTTACTGCTTCAAAGGAGCATTCTATCAACTGCCAGCACAGCCGTTAATACAGCGATAAAGGCTCTTCCTTGTAATTGTTTGATTCTGAAGTACTCTGATTAGTGGAGAGCCTATGAGTCACTTTAAGTTCTCCACAGGTTTCTTGCATTATCTTACAGTGTACTTAGAATCGACTTTCTATACATGTATGAATACTTCACACTCATCTACAGTTACTCTCATTCTCTTTTCTTTTGGCAGTAAGAAAAGGCAGCTGGCAAAGTCAGCACCTAGCACAACACAGAGCTGAGCCTGGCACCAGCAGTTTTAGCAGGAAACAGTTTTAGCAGGCCTGAACATGCCAAGCAAGAGAAAGCCCACTACTGCATAGGACCTTATAAAGAAAAAGTACAGGATATAACTAAATTTGCTCGATGTCAGTCAATGCTCAGATATACCACTAACAGCTGTAAAACAGCCTGTATTTACATTTCTATCTGCATTTCGAAATGCCCCAATATCTCAGCTGTCTTCAGGATAAACTAATGAATTGCTGTGAATCAGTAATGAAACAATTGAAGCAGACTCAAAGACAACTACAAGATGACAACTGTATTACTGTGAGAACTTTTGAAATACCTCACATCTTGTTTTCAAATAAGATAATGAAATATTAAATATACTTTATGAGAAAAAAGTTGAAAAATATTTATTAAGACGAAGACAGAAGTCGCCCTAAAGCTTTTCTTATGCTGGACAGTAACTTTGTAACTTTGAAGGGAAGGAGAGAAAAACATGCATATTTTAAAAATTCTTGAAACAAGCAGCATAGCTCCCTGTAGAAGAAACTAGATATTAAAAAGTTTTCTCCACAATGAACCCTATGTTTGGCACAAGTGAAAGAATTTCCTTAATATTACTCTACTGAAGAAAATCAAATGTTTGTGCCAGGTCTCTGAGTTTTGTAAGGCCTGCTTACTTGGTGAAAAGAGCCTGTTACTATGGTTACAACCGTAAAAACTTAAGCCTCAGTGAGATATTAACATTCCTTACTCTTGGAAAGAAAAAGGTCTCCTTTTTTTAGGCAAGTGACCCTTTCTTTTTCCCTAGGTCCCCCCTTTTCTTTTACATGTTCGAAAAGAATCAGAAATAAATCCTAATCTTGTGTAAATAGTTGAAGATGTGAAGCCTGACTAGTACATTGTTTCTGTAGTAAAGCATCTTCTATTAAAGGAAAGACTCCTTACAGTTGTAACTAGTCCTTAACATAATAAAAGTAAATCACTGAAAGCAAACAAATACTATGGATTTCAAGTAACCTGCTCCTAAAATGTAACAACCAAGAAGAAAAGATGTCCTCATTCTCATGGTGACCTGAGGTTGACTTCCACATGAATAAGCTTGGCTGTTTTCTCTCTTTTTTTTTTTTTTAAAGAAAAAAAAAAGCATTTCATACTATTATTTAAAACAATGCTCACAGCTGTGCCCTGCCCCCACCCAACCATTTCTTATAGATTTGGTCAGGTTTTGGCTGTGCTAACACTGGCAAATACATGTTAAAATGACAATTAATCTGACATCTCTTTTTAGTGGCACGAGATAATCATTGTAGTTCACAGCTCCAGCTTAGTTTCAGTTCTCCAGAGTGCAAAGGTGAACTGACTTCAGAGTATTACCATAAATTATTGTCAAAATATCATGCCTTGCAAACTGAAAACTAGTTTACATACATTAGTAATAAAACAGTTCATTTGGAACAAGACTATATATAGGAAATGCTTTGTTGAAATTGAAAATATATAACAAAATATATATATAATATTTTTAATATATATAAAAAGCACTGCTAGCAGCTTTCCAAAGTACCGTAATTAACAGCCTTCTGTATTATTCTTTGACTTTCCTGCTGAAAAAAATCACAGCCTACTTAGCTTTCTATCTCACCAGCCACCCTCTCACCCTCTGCCTCTTCAATTAAAGCAACTGCTGCCTTATCTTCCAATTCTAGCAAAAAGAGCGAGATTTAAAATCAGAAATACAGTTTTACAGTTCATATCCCACCATCTGTACATTCATCCTACAGCAAAGTACATTATAATTCAACTTGATGGTTATTTACAGGCTGACTGCAGAACTCCAGAATTGGCTTGAATTTAACCCTGTTTTAAATCAGCAGTTTTGCAATGGTAACTGTAAGAAACCTGCAATCTTCATGTTAGGTAACATAGCAGCCATGAATAAAGGAAAGAAATCTATAGCTTGTAATTAAATTGCCTTGCTTGTAATGATGGGTGTAGAACTTAGAAAAGGGGAAAATTGTTCAAGCTCAGGAATCAGAATTGAGATTCAAAAAGAAAAGAACCTTTTCACACAGTTTTGCCCTTAGGGTCCTTTATTTCACATTTTTAGGGTCAGTTCTACAATCCTTAAAAATATTTACTTTTTAAACGGTTATTTAAGAAATCTTGTCTGTCTTTTTTTCCTTAAAACACATCCTTTGAAGATAAATCAGATATCAGAAGGCCACAGTAAAACTGCAAGCATTAACAACATTGTGTACACTACAATTAAACAAAATTCTTCTGCTGAGTAGAGCACAAGTATCAAGCCAAGTTCTTCTTTCCTGGACATATAAACAAAGCCTACAAAGCCAAAAACAATGGGGCCAAATTCTAAATTAGAATGAGCTTTTGAACATGGAAATTTGGAAAGAAATGTGGTGGTTTTTTCCCCCATCACAATGCAAGTGTGCTACTAAGATACTTTTCAAAGTAAAAACCAGATGTCTACCATAACTATTAAAAAAAAATCATTAAAAATACCCACTGCTATATTACATACCTCCTCGAGGCTGAGCTGAATCATTACTACCAACGACTACTGGAATACCAGCATCTTCCAACTTAACCTTCCATTTAGCGATGATTTCAGCTGAACCATCCTATAAAAAAAAGATGACACAGATGCAGCTATTCTAACACGTGTGGTAACCCAACCACAATCCAAAGTAAAAATCCCTATCACAAACAGCGCTGATTTGGTCAGTATTTTCAATAGGGTCTGAGACATACCTTACTGGCATCATTAAAAATTGACAGCTCCATGGTTTGTTTAAAATCCTGCTCCCAAACTGATTTTAAGCATTCATCTAGCCAATGCTGGCTATTGTGAACAGGCACGATGACTGACTACAAAAAAGACAACACAAAATGTTAGTAAGAACTACTTTTTTCATGTACTTACAGCACAAGAACATTCATTAAAAAAAGGGGAAGTGCCAGATCTCTGTAAAACTAAGCGCATCTTAAGAATGAAGAAGTAGGCTAGGTACCTTTGTTTTCATTATAAATGAATGTTCTACTTTCATGTCTATCAAACTTCACATTTTTTGAGTTCTACAAGATGGCTTTAGTAAATCTCCAAAGAAACAATAGAGACCACTCAACCAAAAATGCTAACAAAACACCTATAACAACACACTAGTTTGTTTCTAGCCTCCTTGCATTTCATAAAACACTCTAGTTTCCATGAATATACTTTACTCACCAATTTTTTGTTATGCTTACTGCCCAATTGGTGATGCTTACACATGCAGCCTGTATTCTTGGGCTCTAGCCAAGGTCTTTTAAATGACTCTATCTAAAACTGTTATCAAACACACCAGAAGATGACTTATGACCTACTTCCTGAGTTACCATTTCACCCACAGCTTTTTCTCTTACAGCCTCTGTTGTTTCAGCCACATACTCACAAGATGTGAAAACCTACCTGAAATACTTTAAAATTGGTTAGCAATCATAGCTGAGGATTCCTCATCCTGTCACGGTACCCATCATTATTCTTACCCTGAACCTCAAAAGTGTTTCTGTACTTCAAAATATATCTTACATTCACAGCATGCAAGTCCTAAGAAATTAATCTCAGCATTAATACACCAGCTATGTTTGTAAAGGGAGAGTCCAAACCAGTACCTGTGGGGGCAGCTTATAATAGATGGGGAACTTAGGGCACAGGGCATAAGTACCTTGTAAGAAGTCTCATAGGACATTTTGAGAAGTTCCTAGAAACAGAACTCAAACCCCTTATCATGCGGTGCATAACCATAATGCAAAGCTGGAAGGAAGAGAGGATTAGTTCCTATTGGAGCACATGAGTATCTCAGAAAAGAAAACTGCAAGAGTACCTAAATGGACACTTGTGAAAGATTTCCCCTACACACAGATACACGTACACTGTGACAACACATGCACATGTATCACTAGGCAGATACATTTCGTGCAAGTGTTGTTTCATTGGGTTTTTGTTCCTTTGTATTCACAGAGTAGGATGCAGGTACATTCAGGTATCCATATATTCCCTAGTACAACGATTAATGAAAAAACCCATAAAACTTCACAGCAAAATGAAGTAAACCTGTAGCAGTTTGAAACCTGATTTTGGCAGGATGCTATAACAGAAAAAGGGGGTTTAAGTAGAGGGAAAGCTACCTTAAGTGTTTAAGCAAACAAATTCTTTGACTTCTGTTGTAAAGAGATAAACAAGTAAAAGAAGTTAAAGAAATAAGTAAAATGGAATACAGAACAATGACAACATCTGGAGAAAAAAATCATTTCAGAACTGTCTGAGATTATTATATCAAGACTTCAAAAAATAAACAGGTCTGAGGTTCTAAACCAAGATATTTGAAGTACTCAGGATTTCAATATTCTTTATATCTAGATGGCAATTAAAATAAGTCCCTAAATGTTAATGTTAATCATCCTACCTTATTCATTCAGAAAGAAAAGGATTCCCCCCCTTTTTTTTTTTCCAATGCAGTTTTGGACATCAAGAATAATTAGTTTTGTTTTTTTTTTTTTTTTCCTAATTAACTCAGTAAAAATGTGAGCATGCCACCACAATTAGATTGATGTTGGCCTGAACACAGTAAAAATGCAACTTATTTATAAGCTTTTGTTCATGGTGAGCTCCTGGTTTTACTCAGGGGAAATCAGCAGTTAGATTTAGCAGTGGATTTATCATGTTAGAAGTTTTCTGCTTAGCTTGAACTGACCTGATTCACCAAGATGCTCTGATCTCAGCACAGCACCTCAGAACATTCTAGCACATTCCTGAGCACATCACTGTGAGCCAGTTCTACTTTCACAACTGCCATTACAAGAAGCCAGATGCTTGTCAAACCTGGGTGCAGAGCTGATCTGCTGCTGATTCCTCCACGTAAAATGTGAAAAAAAACTAATAACTGTACACAGCAATATGCTTCAATTACCAGAGAATTGCTAACACTGCACATCAAAGCGATTCCTTGGGTTCTATCATTCATTATCAGTACATTGCTTCTCTGCATTTATGTTCTTTTGTTGGTTTTAAGTCAAAGAACAACTGAAAACACCACAGACAGAAACCTTCATTTCTCTCCAGTTTACTTCTACATGTGCAGCCTGCTTTGAAAGTTGCAGCTGGCACCAACTCTGAGCTGAGTATCCATAAGCTGGCCTCTACCACTGTGTGGCCAGAACACACCAATCTCGTTGGCTTATTTAAAGAGGAATAAACCTCAACTAAGACACTACGTTTCACTGACAAGTGCAGATTAGTACAAAAAAGGCAGCTGATAGTAACCTCATGAGATCCTGTCTAGTTGCTCCGTCCCAAGATGAGGTCAACCCCAGCTCTGCTGCTCTTGATGTATCACAGTCTGCAGTGCCTGCCATTGCCTTGCTGAGCCAATCTCTGGCAGCTGGCATCATGGAGATCTGGAGCAGTTTTCCTAACCTCTTAACTCCTATGCTGCAGTTTTCTTTAACTACTATTTCCCACTCACAGCCCAAGTTATTACTCAAGTTCTCTTTGCAGCAGCCATTTCTATATTTGAAAACTACCATGATGACAGAGAACTAGAAATACACATAATGCACTTCCAAGTAATTTTAAGCCAACACAAGGACATAACTTGCAAATAACTTGTGTACATAACAAGATCAGCTATCATTCTATCAGCATAACAAGATCTCATAACAAGATCAGCTGAGCCAGAATTTTCCTTTGCATTACCTGAGACTGATTTATAGCAAAATCCAACAGAGAAGCCTTTCATGGCCTATAGATTCTGGACATTAGGAAGTATTACTTTTCGGAAAGGGTGGTCAGGCACTGGAATGGATGCCAAGGGAGGTGGTGGAGTCACCAAACCTGGGGGTGTTCAAGGAAAGACTGGATGTTGTATTGAGGGACATGGTTTAGTGGGAGCTATTGGGAATAGGTGAACGGTTGGACTGGATGAGCTTTTAGGTCTTTTCCAACCTTGGTGACTCTATGATTCAGTACAATTAAAATACAGAATGATGAACCAGATCTGGATTTGAGCATTGTGACACTTCAGATTTGCCCTGGACATCAGCAGCTCTAAAATGAGGCCTGAAGCTATTTCAGCTATTTAGCATAGTAGTTTTGCCCTGACTAAGCTGAAGATGATGATTCTTGGCTCCTCTGCTAAATAAGTTTTGATCTATGGTAAAAATGGCAATGCAAAAATGACTAATGGATAGTTCAATCCGCTTCTTTCTACAAATGTATTATTCAACAAGAAAATCCTTCTTTCCACTCTCAGCTACACTGCAGAAAAACAACACCTCAACTGCAAGACTGAAGTGGAGAAATATGTGTTTAAAATAATAATAATAAGTGTCAGATATCAAGCAATGGAATGTTTTATGCCCAAGAAATCTCTTATTTCTGGCATTACCACCATCCTTTTCTAGTGAGGACAATAAATAACACCAAAGTGAAATGCTATTTTCAGTTTCAGCAAATCTCAGTTCATGCTGGCTCCAACCTTCTGTATCTGAATGTGAAAATAAATTCAAATAATCATTTAAACGCCACTGAAGATTCTACAGAAGTCAGAAACTGCTACCCTTAAACAAAGCTTGTGAATCAATCGTTGTTCCGAACCATCTAGGAACTTGAAATTGCTGGCAGAAACGTGCCAGTTCTGTTACATCTCACCAGTTGTACTGAACCCAGGAAGATTTCCAGAACACCTGCCACAGGACCTGAGTTTCTATGAAGCTCCCCAATTCCACCTAACAACCTGTGCTGTTTTACTTTGCAGTACAAGAATGTTTGCTTCACTAAATACAAATGTAAATATAAACTGCTGCCAAACCATACCAGTGGTACATAAATAAATTTGGGCATGGGTAGACAGTATAAAGGGTTTGTTCAGCCTGGAGAAAGCTTAGCAGCCTTCCAATACACGGTGGAAGCCAGTAAGAAGGAATGAATCAACTTTTTACAGAATGGACAGCCATAGGACAAGGGGGAATGGCTTTAAAGTACGAAAGGGGAGATTTAGGTCAGATGTGAGGAGGACATCCTTAATCCGGAGGTGGTGGTGCCCCATCCCTGCAGGTGCCTGAGGACACGGATGGGCTGTGGGCAGCCCGTGGCAGGAGGTGGAACCGGATGGTCTTTAAGGTTCCATCCAAGCAGAGCAGTTCTATAACTTGTAGAAAAGAAAAAAAAAAAAAAAAAAACAACCGAATAAATTAAAAAAAAAAAAAAAAGTTCAAAGTCCACACAACCACACACCCAAACGGAAAGAAAAAAAAAAAAATACAAAAAACTGCCCACGCAGCACCCCCAGAACAACCCGGCACGCCGCTCCTTAGCGCTCCGCTCCCGCCCAGAGCCCGCCCCGCCCCCCTCAAACACACACACGCACGTACCACCTGCACGGAGCCGAGGGGGCTCCCAGCGGCCCTCTCCGCCTCCGCCATGGCCGCCTCCGCCCCTCAGGCGGCCCTTTTCTCTTCAGGAACCGCCTCGGAGCGCCGCCGCCCGCCTCAGGACGGCGCATCCGGCCCGCCCCGCTCCATCGCGCCCTTCCCGCCCGCAGCAGTGGCGCGTGCTCTCCCCCTTCCTCTCCCGCCGCCTCCTCCTTCGTGGCGCGCGCGCGGAGAGGCGGTTGCGCAGAGGCCGGAAGCGCCGTGGTGGGGCGGTGCAGCGGGCGCTCTGTCGTTCGGAAGCCTCACATCGTTGCTGCCCGCCGGTTGTGCTCGGTTCCGTCCCTCTTCTTCGGGATTCTTTGGCCCAGCCCTGCAGAGGCACCTATAAGCGTGCCCACAGTTTCCCCGCGCGGTCCCTCGTATTTGTTCCAATTAGCACATCCCATGCTTTTAGACGCCCCTGCTCAGTGCTATCCTTGTTATTATTTCGTAACCGCCTTATAATACATGCGTTTTCACTGGCAGTGATGTTATTATCAATCATTTGCTTAGTGGAGCTGTCGTTGTGCAACCACTCGCTTCCTTGAAAGCACTCACAACTAAAAGGGATTGCAGGACGAGGCCCTGCACAACAACCTATTCAGAATTATTAAAAATTCACACAAAGCAATCCTTGTCAAGCAAAATCCCGAGATTATCCGTGTTTATCTGGAGCGCCTGTTACACAGCCAGACAATTCAAGAAGCAAACGGAGCAGAGTTATCTTAAAATGTTTGCTGGCACACCAGGCTGAGAACTGAGGAGGTGAGGAAGGCAGCCAAGCGGTAATTCACCCCAGGAATCAATTTCGAATTATCTGCACAGCTTCTCTCCATCCAGCCTGGGTTTAATCTCTCTGCGAACAGCATCGCTAAATGCAATCATTTCTTTTTCTGGCGATGAGAACTGCCAGCACATCCGTGTCGCCTGCGTGCTTTGCTTTATCTAAGAAAGTTAGTAGAATATTGCTTTACCGACACTGAACCACACAGAAGTTCCAGTCAGACCAATGCCTCATTATATGAAACAGCCTACAAGGCACAGAGAACCCCTCACTTCCTTCCCCCAAGGAAAGAGAACCAATTGAAACCACCAGAAGCGGTTTCTAAGTTATGTTCTGTAACTGACCACAGAAGGTAACTAAATATTTATTTCAAATGTGATTTTCATTTTGGACAGAGTTTTAAGGGTCCACAAACACGCAAAAACCATTCAATAGGACTTCACTCCAACCTAGGCATCCAACTTCACTGTGCAAGCCTTTATCTACTGGATTTTAAATGGAATTTTTGTACTCTCACTTAAAACCATTTTCAAAACAGCAGTCCATTGTTCCAGTGTCTATTCCTTTTTCATCTGAGTCAGAATGAAAAGTGCTCTCCTAGAGCTGCCATGACAAACTTGCTTGGAAGCAAGCACAGATGCTTTGAGCTTAGTTGTACTTTCAATTGCTTTGCTTTCAGGATTTTCACAGTAGTGGAGAACAGCACAAAAGCAGTTATTACAGCTAGAAGCATTACAGAATCAAAGGCATTTTTCATCAGACTACCTTTCAGCTTTTATTTCTGAAAGCCTTGTTAGGATCATTACTAGAAGTTCACAGTTCTGGACAACTTAGCTGGCAAATAAGTTTTTTTCCTTGTCTTGGTGGAAAGGCATAATATCTAGAAAGTTATTTTGTTCTCTCTACATTCAGCTCTCATCTCAAGAGGACACAGACTAACAACAATATGGACAGTTTAGACGTACCACATTGTAAGCACAAATCTCACTTGACTTTACTCCCCAAAAGATCAAGCTAACTCAGGGTTTAAAATAGTATCTTTACAAATCAATCCATTTGACATTGCTGAGCACGTGGGCAGCTTGGTTTCACTGCATCTTCATTACAAAGACAAGAACGAATGAGGACAGAGCTTTTGTCACATTTGTCTCTGATTTTACAAGATTCAATGCTGATATTGCCAGAACACACTATGTTGAAAGCACCATTCAATGAAGCAGGTAAAATGATCAGCTTAGAGATAGTTCTGAAATCACTTCTATTCAAAGAATGCTTTGAGCTTCCAAAAACGCTCAGTTGTTTTCATAGAGCATCACAACCAAATGGTAAGGAAGGAGAGGCAGTATTCTTGTTTAAAGTGCTGTGGAGCAGAGCAGGGACTTCATAGATTCATAGAATCATAGAATCACCAAGGTTGGAAAAGACCTAAAAGATCACCCAGTCCAACCGTTCACCTATTCCCAATAGCTCCTACTAAACTATGTCCCTCAACACAACATCCAGTCTTTCCTTGAACACCCCCAGGGTCGGTGATTCCACCACCTTCCTGGGCAGTCCATTCCAGTGCCTGACCACCCTTTCTGAAAAGTAATACTTCCTCATGTCCAGCCTGAATCTCCCCTGCCATAGCTTGAAACCATTCCCCCTGGTCCTATCACTAATGACACGAGAGAAGAGGCCGACCCCCAGCTCACTACAACCTCCCTTCAGGAAGTTATAGAGAGCAATAAGGTCTCCCCTGAGCCTCCTCTTCTCCAGGCTGAACATTCCCAGCTCCTTCAGCCTCTCCTCATATGGCCTGTGTTCCAGACCCCTCACCAGCTTTGTTGCCCTCCTTTGAACACGTTCCAGGGCCTCAATATCTTTCTTGCAGTGAGGGGCCCAAAACTGGACACAGTACTCGAGGTGCGGCCTCACGAGTGCTGAATATAGGGGAACAATCACCTCTCTGCTCCTGCTTGCAACACTGTTTCTGATGCAAGCCAGGATGCCATTGGCCTTCTTGGCCACCTGGGCACACTGTCGGCTCATGTTCAGCCGAGCATCAATCAAGACCCCCAGGTCCATTTCCTCTACGCAGTCCTCCAGCCACACCGCCCCAAGCCTGCAGCGTCGCCTGGGGTTGTTGTGGCCGAAGTGCAGGACCCGGCATTTGGCCTTGTTGAAACTCATCCCATTGGCTCCAGCCCAGCTCTCCAGCCTGTCCAGATCCCTCTGTAGGGCCTCGCTACCCCCAGGCAGATCCACACTTCCAGCCAATTTGGTGTCATCTGCGAATTTACTGAGGGTGCACTCGATGCCCTCATCCAGGTCATCAATAAAGATATTGAAGAGGACAGGCCCCAGCACCGACCCCTGGGGAGCATCACTCACAACTGGTCGCCAGCTGGATTTGACTCCATTCACCACCACTCTCTGTGCCCGGCCCTCCAGCCAGCTCCTTACCCAGCCAAGAGTGTACCCATCCAAGCCTCTGGCTGCCAGCTTCTGCAGGAGAATGCTGTGGGAGACAGTGTCAAAGGCTTTGCTGAAGTCTAGGTAGACCACATCAACAGCCTTTCCTTCATCCACCAGATGGGTCACTAGATCATAGAAGGAGATCAGGTTGGTCAAACAGGACCTGCCCTTCATGAACCCATGCTGGCTAGGCCTGATCCCCCGGTCACCCTGCACATGCCGCATGATCTCCCTCAAGACGATCTGCTCCATAACCTTCCCTGGCACCAAGGTCAGGCTGACAGGCCTGTAGTTCCCCGGATAATTCAGATTCAGAAGCTGATTGTGGTATTACTGCTGTCCTGAGATGAGATCACCTTTGTCATTGCTGACTGATGCTATCCTGTTCTCAAAGGTCTCACTCCAATAACAGAGATCCCTCAACATCTTCAGACAACATCTTCCAGTCCTTACTACCTTCACCCTTTGAGTTTCTTAATATTTACCTTAGGTCTTGCTGTGATATTTAAGTCCCCTACAGCCATGGGGGTTAACAGCTTTTCCACCTAGCACAGATCCTGGCACCTGTTAGCTCTCAGATTTAGATTTTATTACCTAATAATTTCCCTTTTATTGTACACAACTTCTTGCTGACCAACCCTATCCCCTGAATAAAGACCACAATTCCTACACTGTTCCTCTGTTTAAGCCCTCTATTAGTAGCTGGAACTTAACTGTTTTTTCCTTTAAAAAAAAAAAATAATAAAATCCTTCATTTTTCCTTCCTTAATGGATTCAGCACTTCAACCACATTTTAGACCAGATGCAAAAACAATGCAAAAAAAAAAATATTTTTTTTTTGCTTGCTTTAAGTAAAACCCTTAGCACCCTACCCAACTTTTTTGAAGGACTAAAAAGCGTACCTAACGCCTAACCAAACACATGCAACCAACACAAACAAGGAGACCAGTAACCTGCCAGAGCTAGAATGCCTTAAACCAACTTACCGCTAAGACACAGCCAAACATCCCCCAGAATCTGCCCCTCGTCTCCTAAGAAGGACTAGCAACCCCCTCCCTCCTTAAGGGTCTTCTGATAGCCCTCTCCTGAGTGTTTTTATCCCCTGCAGCTGTGTGCCTTCTCAGCTGCTCTCACTAATGCCTCTGTTAACCCCTCCTTTGCCTGCTAGGGCTTGCAAACTCCATCCCAAACCGACTGCTCTTCCTCTAACCCACACGCAGGAAACAAGTGTGTCTGCAGCCACAGTTTTCGTGTTTGCAAATCAGTTACATTCCCCCGTCCTCTTCTGCAGGTTACGTGCATCTGATTCCTTTGGGCTTTCCTCACTGGTGGTGTTTTAGCTCTGTTCATTCTCATCTCTCTTCTGGACTCTGGGCACTTCACATCTCAGCAGAGGACACCCAGAGCTCCTGCTGGGCTGCGGCAGTGCTGAGCAGAGCAGGATTACCGCACGTCTTGCAGCCATACTCCTGTTTGCACAGCTTAGTGCAGTGTTTGCCTTTTTCACAATGGCTTGACACTGTTGACTCCTAATCAGCTTGTGATCCATTATATCCCCTAGGTCTTTTTCTGCATGAAGGAAACAGTGTTTTAGCAGTTTTATTCCAGGCAGCCACATGAGAAGAAAATGACTTGAAGTAGCGTGAGTGAGATTATCTGCTTTGTGTTTAATGCCAGAATTGTTTACTGGTTTCCAATTAGTTACATGTGTACACTGTGTTAAGGGAGTTGCACAAGAGTTACTAATGCCTTCCTTTGGCCTTCACCTCCTTTATTACTGGTGGGGACTGGTACCTAAGAGTTGTTTGGGCCAATTTCCCTGTGTAC